TATATTGATATGTATTTTAGCATTGTTCTCCTCCACCATTCTCTTTCCCTCTCCCCTGTCTCCCTCACCCCCCCCAGACAGTCCCTCTATTGCAGTCATGTTTTTGTGTGTGCACATATGTGTGTGTGTGTGGTATATACATGTATATACAATTTAGGTCTAGATTTTGTATATGAGAGAATATGAGACCTTACTCTTTCTGCACCTGGCTTATTTTACTTAATATGATGGTATCCTGTCCATCCATTTTTCCTGCAAATGCCATAATTTCATTCATCTTTATGGCTTAATCATACTCCATTGTTTATACATACCTTATTTTCTTTATCCAATCATTGGCTGAAGGGGTTGGAGGTCATCTAGGCTGATTTCAAAGCCTGGCTATTGTGAATAGTGCTGTAATAAATAAGATGTGCAAGTGTCTCTGTTATATCCTGACTTGTGCACTAAGAGTGGTATCACTGGGTCAATTTAGTTGTTCATTTTTAGTTTTTTAAGGAACTTCCATTCTTCTTTCCATAGTTGTACCAATTTACATTCCCACCAACAGTCTTACCAGTCTGTTAACAGTATCACCCTGTTGGCTTCTTGAGAATAGGTTTCTGGGAGAGTTAGGGCAGGAGGAGGTCAACTAGTTAGTTAGGAGACTATTCTGATAATCCGTACAAGAATGTTGGTGGTTTAGACCAGAATGGTAGCCAAAGGGGTGGTAAAATGTGATAGAAGTCTGGGTAAATTTTGTCTGAAGAGGTGACAAGAATTACCTACAGATGTGATGCAGAGTGGAAAAGAATAGAAATCAAAAATGACTCCAAGGTTTGTGCTTAAGCAAATAGAAGAATGTAAAAGGCATTAATTGAGATGGAGAGCCCCTTCAGGAGTGGCTATGAGGAGCTCGGTTTTGGATGTCTTTTAGTTGAATGCGTGTTAGACATGCAAGTACAAATGTAGAATAAACAGTCTTATACATTGGTCTGAAACAGGAAGAGGTCCAGTTTGGAAATATAAGTTGATTCAGGAGTCATTCCATGGCCCAGGGAGTACCAGTGCTGAATACAGATGTGAAATACCAGAGGTACAAGGACCAGAATATTAGACATGGAAATCAGAGATGTGAGATACCAGGAGTTTAAAAGAAAAGTCAGATAGGTATGGTGTCACGGAAACAAAGAGGAAGAGTTATCAGCAGTGTCATATGCTCTATGGGATAAAGTAAGAGGTGAACAGTGACCATTATTTTTAGCAACATTTAGGTCATTTTATTTTAAAATTCACACAGAAGAATAAGTGCTTGAGAGAAGCCAGGGAAAATATGAAAAACTGACTGGGACTCACCTTTGCAAATCTCAGGATACACTGTATACATGTTCTATAATTAAATCAATGTTGAATTGATATATGAATGGCCAGAGACCATACTTGAAAACTTAGGAAGTTATCGCTGTATATAAATATTTATTATATGATAAACATATTTCTCTTCAGGAGTAAAAGGATGGATTATTTAATAAAAAAGGCTAGTCCAACTGTGTATGCATGGGCAAGAAAATAAAATGATTCCTGAAAGGATTAAAGGCTTAAATAATAATAAGTAAAGTAATAACTATCTTGGAAAAATACAGAAGACCATATATACAATATCTGCATGAATATAAAATAAGAAACATGTTAGTAGAAAAAAATGAGCAAAAGATATGAAGAAAACATTTTATAGAAGAATTAATTGGCCAATAGACAAGAAAAACGTGTAAGTTTATTAGTGGTCAGGGAAATGAATCAATGACTATTGATCACTGGCAGAAAAAAAAAATTTTTAAAGAATCTTCTATTGCTAACCACGCTATGAGGGAAAGAGGATTGTCACACTTGATAGGTACAATGCTCCCTTCCCATAATGTTGCTAGTATAATGTTGTAAACTTTGTATTTAGGGAGCATCGCGTTGTAACGAGTTCGGTTTATGTGCTCTCAGTACCATTATGTGGCTTAGCCACATAGCTTCAGACCAACCACAAGCACATGTGTATACATAGTCTATAATTCGCTTATCTTGAAACTTTTTTTGAGTTTCATTTTCCTAATTGCAAGGTAGAGATAACCATCCTTTGCTGGCCAGTGTCTTCCAAGGTTGGGTATCACATGAGGCTTTGGAAATGATATGGTGTAATTCAGAGAGGGTTAGGACAGACCACGAACCGTTCGGTGATAGAATCCAAGAACTGATTACATAAAATTTGACATGTACATAAAAAGAAAATATACTCCTAAATGTAAATTGTAGTAAAGGGCCTTATAATGAAGGCTTGACCTCTTTGCTGCATTTATCATTGGATTTCAGTTTTGTGAAGGTGTTCTGTGATCTCTGTGCCTCAGTACAGTAGCCACTAGTCACGTATGGCTGTTGAGCTTTTGACATACGTATTTCAATTGAGGAACTGGGTTTTAATTTTTATTTAACTTTAAGTAATTTAACTTACAGTTTAAATAGCCACATGTGGATAGTTCTGTAATCAATAGGGCAGGAAATGTAGGCTACACAAATTCATTAAATTATAATTTTAGGCAGATGATAACAGGATGCAGATCAAAGTACAATCAGAGGTATGTGGGGTTTATAATTGCTGAGAGTAAAATGGATATTAAAATGTCATTGGTTGAACAGAAGATCAGAACGAGAGAACTGTTAACAGAAGATACTCAATTTGAGGAAAGCATTTATTCAAAAAAGACTGTAGAAAATGACATTCAGACTTCTACCCAGAAGACATGCTCTGCTAGGTGCTTTGTCTTTGCAGTTTCCTTGTTGGTCTACAGTGTCCTCTTCAGAGTAGGTACCTTCACTCCTTCCTCTTGAGGTTGGACCCTAGCCCTGAGCTTTCCTCTCTTGTTCTCTGCCATAGGCTGCAGTTTATTCTCCTCTAGAGTGGCCCACATGTCTGCCTTCAAGGATCTTTCCTTTTCTAACATCCTAGGTACTTTTAAAGTGTTAGCTTGTTTTTCACGTAGTGCATCCCAAGAATGTTGTTTGTGCTGCAGTTGAGGGATCCAGATGTGAAACTACTTTGTAGCCAGCTGGCTCTTCCTATATGTGGGAATGTCTCTCAGCATCAGTCAGTGGATGGTCTTTCCAAGGTCTGGGATCTTGGTCTGTTCTGACCTTTGCTAACTGGTTCTGAGATGCTTTGCAGTTGAAGATCTAGCATTCCTTTTTGTGTATTTGCATTTATCTCATCAGCCAGCCAAACCATTTTCAGGTTAGATAGTTAAAAAATTAAATTGAAAGCTCATGTTTTAACAGCTTTAGATTATCATGGTTAGTTTCTGCCTGCTGTGTTTTCTATAAGGTAGTTGGAAACTTTCCTCATTTAAGAATTTAAAAAAAAAAAGCTTTCTGTTTTTTTAATGTTGACAACATTTACTGATTTTGACTATTAGAAAATCTACCTGTATGACTATATATTTTTTGAATAAAGTTTGTATGACCTTTATTTATTTGCATCTACAATTGCCTTCTGGAGCTATTTGAAACACTTAATACTTGCTCTATGTAGATATAATTTTGACATTGCATTAAAATTGAAATGGAGCCGGCACCGGTGGCTCATGCCTGCAATCCTTTCTATTCAGGAGGCAGAGATCAGGAGGATCGCAGTTCGAAGCCACCTCAGACAAATAATTCGTGAGACCCTATCTTGAAAAACCTTGTCACAAAAAATTGGGCTGGTGGAGTGGCTCAAGGTAAAGGCCCTGAGTTCAAGCCCCAGAACCAAAAAAAAAAAAAATTTTGAATGGTTTTCTGTTCCATTAGTTAAGTTAGAAAATTATTTCTCCTTTAATTATCTACTCATGTGAACAAGATATTATTCCTATATTGAGGAATGTGTATTTAGAATAATGGTCTGTTTCTGAATTTTACTCTTTGAGAGTTACCTGTGATTATTCATTCCTTGTAATCCCTTAGGGAACAATTAGAAGTACAAAATTTCTAGCTCAACAAAGATCTGTCAAATACTGAGATACTAAGCTTACTATATTTCTAAATGAAGTTCATATCATTTATAGTTCTCACTATTTAGTATTAGAATCAATGTATAACACTTTGTAAAAACATTGCACCCTTTATTTACCAAATACAATGCAAATTTCTTCTAAATTGACAAAGAGTTGCAGGATATACACTAAATTATACTGATATCCAAACCAAACAATAAAATAAAAACATGTTCTCTCTAAACTATTTCAGTTGAGATATTATTTATATCAGTAACTATTTAACATGTACACATTGCTGTATGACTCTTTTAATAAGTAAACATTTGGGTATATAGCAACTTGGAAAGTGCTAAAATTATTAAAAATAAAGTTGTATGTTTATTCTTTGAAAGATATACCCCAAAGTAGAAATCCTACTTCCTATTCTCACAGATTCCTAAATTTGAAATTATTTAAAAGAATGGGGTATAACAAAGTTAATTAATGTCAGTTACACCCTATGGTCTTCCCCAGAAAGTACTGATCATAAGTAAATGAAAATTTAATGATCATAAGTAAATGATAATTAGTTTGTTATAAGAGAAGCAGTAGGCTGTCTGGTGAACCAAAGTCAAAAAACTTTATTTCCACACTGACTTTTATTTTAGCTTTGGTTTGTTTAATTCTTATAACAGATTTTGTTGGGAAAGATAAATTTAAGAATATAAAGTAAAATAGAGCAGATTAAAAAGGCATGTAAGAAATAACATTTTAGCCGGGACTTCAACTATGTGAAATAGAATATTTGGTGAAATCTTAGGTTTCTGATTTTATTACATGCCGTGGGGCGGGTTGTGGAAATCCCATATATGTTAACTATTTTCATTTGCAAAACAAAATATTGTCTTGAACTCATGCATCTAAACAGGTAAAACAACTTAAATTACTTCAGTTTTACAAAGAGTAAGGCACTTGATTGTTGCCTGCTTTCCTGAAGTTTTACGTGTTCTTTTTGTTTGTTTTTAATAGAGTCCTGTGAAGATAAATCAGATTAGCCTGGATGAAAGTGGAGAACACATGGGTGTGTGTTCAGAGGATGGCAAGGTATGGTGAGAACATGGTAACATTGGAAGTAGTGCTCTGGCACTGAGTGCTGTGATTTTGTCCAACCTCAGGTGATCTGGTTACTGTATACCTGCATTGAGGGAACCTTGGTTATTCTTTTTGAGTATTGGACTTGCTTCCGATTGCTCATAATTAAAGGAAAATATATTTTGCACAAATGTGCCTTAGGAAAAGTAATTACAAGAATGTCAATAATCTAACTAGTATTAAGCTGATTAACAGCTCTGGCAGGGTGACGTGTCACCTTAATCATTATTGCTGTGCCACTTAGACTTCAGTGACTAGTCTGCAGTTCCTGCAAGACAGTAGTTTAAGCCTTTCTGCCATAAATCCACAAAATTGGATTTTGTGGGCATGATTTCTGTGGGCTGATGGTTTTCATTTTCACACACAAGTTATGAATGTTACTCTTGAATTATAGAATCTTTTGATAAGCTATCATAGTTTATCAGAAGAATAAAGTGTCCTACAATGGCCACATTAAATAAATGTAAAATCAATATATGTACAGTTTTCTAAAAACCTGGCACCTACTTCCTCGACCAAGGACATACATCATTTGTGCAGTGTATAACTAACAATTATCAGTGCTTCTTGCTGATGTTGAGCTGTGACATTTAGTGGTTGCTGTGATTGATTTTCCACTTATAAGAATGTCTTTTTTTGTTTTTAAGTCGATGGAAGTCTTTTCTAATGTTGGTTTGTAATGATGAAATTCTAATGCAGTGTATTTAAGCTACTTTTCTAAAATAACAGTTTAAGAAGAGAATGCATTAAAGAGTCATTATAGAACCTTACATATTCCTTACTGAATAAAGATTTCCTAATCTAATTTTGTATTTTTTATGTGCTCTAAATTCAATGGGCCATTAAGATGACTAAATTAAAAACAGTACACTCAGTAAAAAAGAGACACCTATTCCTGTCTGTAACGATATTATACCCATTAATCTGTTAACAAAAGTAACATGGAGTCCTTTTGACATAGAAGAATGCATTTTATATATCTCAGACTAATGTTGCCCAAAGAGTCTTTTGAAACGTAGTTGGAACACTAGTGCTTTTCAGAAAGCACCATCAAATTTTATAGTACTTTGTGAAATTCTAAGATGAACATGATTGTCAAAGAAAGATAAGGGAGGAGTTGTTTTGTACAGAAGTTGAAAAAATCATCCACAGTATTGAAACATTTTTATGTTCATATATTTGCAAAGAAAGTTAATCTTCATTTTGTTTCCTTTAAGGCAAGCAATTCCTTCCAGACTGATACAAACTTAATTAAACAAAACTGGTGAAGGAAAATACTCAGTTTATGAATTGGGAACAAATTTTTTCTAAGATACATTAGGGATTTTTCTGAGCTTTAAATGTTGACAAATTACTGTTAGAGTGTCAAAGTGGAATATTTTAATGACTGTGTGGTACATAATAAGATGACCCTAAAATATCCCATGGTATACTTATTAAAATTTGTGACTGCCATATTTTTGTCTAGACCTATGATATAGTTGAAAAATGGTTTTCTTATGTATTTTATTAGACTTAATGGAGCTGAAAATAAATCTTGCAGTGCATATATTTGTGTAAGCCCCACCTTACCATAGGTTAGTCATTATTGTGAAAATTAAGAAGCTAGTACAGAATGATGTTGGGTATAATGATGAGTAATGATTAAAAAAATAAAGGTATTTACACATATAAGCTCCAGATATCTAGAGCTAATGCATCTTTCTTTTTATTCTTTCCAATACATCTTTCAATAGCTGTTGTGATTTTTGCTTTCTTTAGTTTATTAAGATTCATAAGCAAATTATAATCTGTATTTTAAGGATAGTATTTACTATTTGCATTCACTTTTAAAGTTCTAATTCTAACAGTTGGTTGAAACTTACTCTTTATTTATCTGGTGGTTATTTCTGATCTCATTTACTCATGGCTTCTCCAAGCATGAGTTCTAAATTTTGTGATACGCATATGCACATATATCAAATGTGTATTTCTGCATGTGTTCAGTTTCATTTTATTGGGCATATATTTATAGGTAACTTTCAGGATAAGTACATACAGGGCTTATTTTCTTCTCTCTTGCATATGTTGCCTTCATATATAAACTAAACTGTAGTATAAAATTCTGGGTTAAAATACTTTCTTTCGAATTTTGGAAATGATGCTCTATTTTTTCTCACACTTTGTAGACATGTCTGATGCCAGCCCACTGATCTGCATTAAAAAATCTTAAAACATTTTTTTGTCCTAACTTGGAGGTTGTACTACTACTAATAAAAATAACGACAACAACAATAATACATGATCCTTTTAATTCAGTTTGATAAGTTATGTCTAGTTCTGGTCTCTTTTCATTAATTTTGTCTGGAATGTAGTAAGTCCTTTTGATCCATATACTGAGGGGTTGTTTTCATTTTAGGAAAGTTTACTTCAGCTATAATTTTGATTATTACTCCAGTTCCATTTATTTTCATTTCGTCAAAGAAATTCAATAATCTAAGGCTGGAGGCAGTATTGTTTAGAGGCCAAGAGCATAGCTCTGTGTTCTGCCCAGGCTAGAACTCCACTCTGCTGCATTAAGGTGGGCATGTAGCTTGGCCTCTCAGTGCCTTCCTTGTCTCAGCTGTGCGGTAGGCACAATCGATGTCTGCATGGGAGGGTGGGGAGGTGCCTCATGGTTACATATTAACTGTCTTTACTTTTTTAGCAATTTATTTATTTTGAATTATTGTACTAGAGGTGCATTGTAACATTTACAAAAGTTCTTATAATATATTAGTTGAATTCACCCCTCCATCATTTAACTGTCTTTGTTGCTACACATTCATTTCCTAACCCACTGCAGTCTGTGCATTCCCCTTCTATCCTTATTGTACTAAACTTTTCCATGTAAGAGGATGAATGGACAAGCACTATTTTCCCTTTTTATCTTTTTCAAAATCATAAGAAAAGTAGGTCATATTGTATAATGCCATGTATGTGATTTGCTGTCCCATTGGTTTTATTCTTTCATTTCTCTGTAGTCGGAGACAGTTTCTCTACATGTTTATTCCCTTTGTTGATTTGCTTTTCTTCCAACATCACTTCTGTTCTTTATTGCTCTATGGAGTACATTTTTGTTCCATTTTGCATTTTTAATTTTTCTAAAATTTTTCTATGACTTCTAACTCCATCATATCAACCTATTGTAGCTGTATGATGTCAGATAAGCTGTTTATACCTCTCAATGACTCAGTCTGTTTCCTCCCCTGTAAAATGGGGATAATCGTAGTTTCTACACTATGAGTTATTAGGACTAAATAACTTAATATGCATAAATTATTTGATGTAGTATGTAGAACCAACAACACACCGAGTAATTGTTAGCTCAGTGTAGTCATCATTATCGCCCTGGTTTATAGAGGTCATTTCTTCTTGTTGCATTTTCCAACTGGTTTTTCTTTGATTTCTGATCACTATTAAGGCATGTTTAAACAGTGTTGTTTTTCTCCCTCTTGAATTTTTGGAATGGTACAGACCTTGTTTATGTTTTTGCCTTTTTTTTTTTTTTTTTAAATCCATTCCAGAATAGAGAGAAGACTTCTTTCTGACCCTGGATTAGCAAACATATTTAGAACCTGATTTGCTTTTGATCCTGCTTGATATATTTTGGGTATTGTAAAATCACTTTCTTAGATTGTCCTCAAATGAGCTTGATTTCCTTTTGCCCAGTTTTCTTGGATTTGTTGGTATCTATGAAGTTACACTTTCCCGTGGTAAAGTAAAACCCTGAATGTAATACTTCCCTTTCCTGGCTTCTTGACCACCATCTTGTATGAAGTTCAGTATATCCTAGGCTTATAAACTGTATAAAAATAATTAGTATACCCTCTGAACAATGACATATGAGGTAATAATGGGGTATACATATGTTTGTCATGTCAAGACTACATTCTAAGAGACAATCTCAGGGGAAATCAAATCCCCTCTATGTTACATTATATCATGTGCTGTTCTTAGAACCTAAATAATTAACTTGGCACAGGTACTTGAAAACAACAGTCACAAAATGAGTTAAGATTCCTAAAGATTTTATCTTTTCATTGTTTTTCTGAGAAAGCATGTCTCTTGGCTTCAAACTGGTGATCTTTCTGCCTCTTCCTCCTGAGTGCTAGGATTACAGAGTTGTTCCGTTACACCTGATTCAAAGATTTTCTCTTTTAAGGCATGAGTCTGTGTATAAAAACGATTTCATAACATGAGTGAATTTTCTGTTTGAAACTTGGAAGAATGAACCACTCACAACTTGCCAACTTAAGTTGGTAAGAAAGAATTGAAAGTTTGAATAGTCCTATATCTATATAAAAATTGGATTTGTAGCTAAAGACCTTCTTATAGAGAGGTTTCTTTTGGCCTGTGTTGCTACAGTAAAATACCTTAGATTATTTCTTACAGTTCTGGAGGATACAAAGGAACTAGGGTTTAGTAACTGGTGAGGACTGCTCTTTGTGCTTCTAAGATGGCACCTGTTGCTGTGTTCTCACATAAATGGAAGGATTTTGTGAAGTGGTTTGCTGTCTATTAAATGTGAACATCTTCATAACCTATGACTTAGTATTTTCATCTCTAGTTATGTGCCCTTCATGAATGTGTGTAAGTGTACCAAGAGATTTTTAAAAAGTGTTCATACTATTCATAACATCCCTGATCTGGATACAACCCAAGTAGTCATTAATGGAAGGAATACATGAGTTATGATGTAGTCATATGTTGAAATACTATATAGCAAGAACAAAGGACCAATTACTGCTATATGCAATAATATGCATGAATGTCACAAACAGTATGTTGACTGAAGAAGCCAATGAAATTGTATGTGATTCCACTTATATAAAATTCAAATATCAATATGATTTACACATGGTGATACATCCCAGGACAGTAGTTAGCTTGAGTGTTGCTTACTGGGAAGGGACACAGAGGGATATCTTGGATTCTATTTCTTTTCTTTTCTTTTTTTTGAAATGTATTTTATTTATTTTTTGTTTGTTTATTTATTTATTGGGCCTTGCTCTATGGCCCAGGCTGGACTTGAACTTGTGGTCCTCCTGCCTCAGCCTGGTGAGTGCTGGGATTACAGGCATGTACCATTGCATCTATTTTGAGTTCTATTCTTGATTTAGCTGATGGTTGGAGGGTTAGGTTTATTTTGTAAAAATATGTCAAGCTGTAAATTTATGATTTATATCCTTTACAATATGTATATTGCACCTCAATTCTGTTTTTGTTATTGTTATGGTTAATTAAAGAATTCTGAAAAAGTATGAATGAAATAGACTGAAATAGCTTTAAGGCAGGAACTGATAAGTGGGAACTTAAATTGCTCATTTATATACTCTCATAGATTTAGCATAAGTTGTAAATGAAATACAGTTCACCTCATCTCTTACCACATTGATCTGTGGCTGATTTATCTATATATGGCTCAAGAAATAAACTTCCTTCTCCTTTAAGAGGTAAAAGAAATAGTTCATTTAGGCACAGCCTATGGAAGTTCATAAAAGAATATTAATAACCTTTTCATATCTATTTCATTTTTTGAGAGTCGGCATCCATTTTATAAAACGGATTTGTGGTTAGTGAGGGGAACTCTATCCATGGGATGCTTCTAAAATCTTAATTACAGCAGCGTGCTTTCACCCTAATTGAATTGTTTTCATTGGATATTTAATAGTGGTCACAGGGCCATAGAATTATTAAATGTTCTACTTTTCTTCTTTTAAAAATTATTGATAGTATATGTTCTTACTGACTCAGCAGCCTTTTCTGTTACTGTCATGATGAGCCAGTATGATTCATTTACTTCTTAGGTGCAGGTGTTTGGACTATATTCTGGAGAAGAATTTCATGAGACTTTTGACTGTCCTATTAAAGTAAGTATTAGCAAATTTTAATTTTCTAAAGGTTTCTTAACTAGGCAGTTAAGATTATAGTAATTCAAAAACTGTTAGTCCTGTATTAATGTGTCAGTAAGTTTCTGTTTGGCACCTGTGATGTACTGATGCTATTTGGATGTTGTGAAAAATGTATGTTATGTGACTATGATCTCAGTCTTTCAGGGAACTTTTATTATAATAAGGAATGAAATTTCACACATGTGTGTGTACACAGCCTGTGATTAAAGACTGAAAAAGGCAAAAACAATTTTAAGACGTTCACAGCTGAAAGGAGTCACTTTTAGTTGTTTGTTTAAGTGATGGTTTCATAGATGGAGGGATGTTTGGGCTTTAATATATGGGCAGTGGCAGATGGAGAAGCTGGCTTCCCCTGTATAATAAACTGAGAAGCTAGAAAGTTCAAACTGTTTGGGATGTGGCAAACATAAAAAACTGACTTGGCAAGAGAACTATACAGACAGATTGGAACTAGTTCTATATTCAGGCTAAGGAATTTGAACTCCATCTAATACAAAAGGAGAAATTATTGAGTGTTTTAAGAACAAGAGTGACATAAACTTAGCTAAACTTTAGGAAAATTAATATAGTGTAGAGTGAAGGTCTGATGGACAAGAGGCAGGAAGATCAGTTTTAGATAGCAGTATGGTAAAGTATTTACCATATTGTTACAGGAAGAGGTCATTTTTTTCACTTGTTTATTCAGATGTTTATTGACCAACAGGTAATCGTGAGATATAATCTGACATGTTTTAGAAAGCTGAATTTGCCAGACGGTGATTTAAATAGGAAAGTAATTGGGGATAAGAGACAATTTAGAAGGCTATTGTAGTCCTCTAGGCAAGGCATTACAGGAACTCAACAAAATCCTGAGTTGTCCAGATAAAGTAGAAGAAATGAATTTGGATAGTCTTAGGAGGTGGACTTTTTAGCCTTAGTGATGACTAGTTTAGTGATGAATGTTATCAAAGATGGAAGAGTGGAAGGGAAATCCAGGTTCTTGCTTTGATAGTGGTATGATAGTAGTATGAGGGAATGCCACTAATTGCAATAAGGGATAGTTCAAATAAGGACTTTGCTAGTTTGGTCTTGAAATTAAATAGCTAGTACATCAGGCGGAGATGTTATGGAGGTTTTAGGAACTTGAGTGTGGACTTTAGGATGGAGATTCTCTCTTAGTACAAAGTTGGTAACCACAATTGAGTAAAATGAAGTCATTTTTAAGGACATTACTCAATTTATACTACCCAGTTTAAAGCTATAGAATGAGAAGAGAAGAAGACTGATGTTGAATTTTCTGGAGCACTCTAAAGACTCAGGCAATTAAAATAAAAATGGCAAAGAAGTCTGAGTAGTAGCTGTTAGGAGGCCTGGAAGAAATCCAGAGAGTGGTGTTAGCAATTCCAAAGGAGAGGTTTCCAGAAAGAAGTGGACAGTTAGTGTCCAAGATGGCTTGGCGATTAAATGGTTGGATGACTGAATCAAGGGTGTTTTATTTGGTAATTATAAGTTACTGATGACCTTGACAAGGACAGCCTCAAGAGTCAGTTGGAGGTGAGGGAATTGAAACAACCACTAAAGACCCTTCTTTCAAAAAATTTGTAAATAAAGAAGACAGATCATCTGACAGGTATAGAGAAGGGGCAGTGTATGGAGATAATTTCTGCAGATCATGTTTTGGTTGATGGTAAAAATGAATAGAGAGGGAAAGATTAAAAAAAAAAAGGAATGCTTAATGGTGCAGCAGTAAGCAAATAGATCAGTGGCTTAGGAAAGAGAGTGACCTGGGAGAAAGTCCTAGCCCTCTGCTTGTGAGAAAGGTGCAGGGAGGTGAGCCTCAGCCCAACTGTGCAAAGCAGCCAGTGAAAGAGGGGGAGTTACTTTCTTTTGCATGAAGGGGCTTGGGTAAGGCGTATGGTAATTTTTTGAAGGAGCAGAGATGATGCCTGTTGAGCACTATGAGAGAGCTAGAATGATTTTTTATGAGAGATTTTAAGAAAGTGAAAGAGTGGAACGTGTATATGCTTCTATACTTGTATTTAGGATGGATTAGCTAACCTGGAAGGTAGGAATGGTTAGAATGAATATGCTAAACCCTGAACATTACAGTGTAAGAGAACTCTATTAACTGTTGTGCTGGAGGAGAGAAATGGATTTATTAATAAGGATATAAAGTATATTTAATGGAAGGTTAGAAAAAACCAAAAATTGTTAAGCTGCTGATTTTATGTATAGTTGAATTCAAAAGGTAAGAAGGCAGAATATACATAGGCTTACAGCCATAACAGATGGAGCTGTGCTGATTGGAGCCCCTAGAACTTGATTGTTGCCCTCCTCGCTCTCAGCCCCTTCATACACATGCTACCATGTTAATGATGTTGTGGGATCATAAAGCTGGTAGCAGTAACAAGGAATGGTGAAGTAGCCTTGGGAGAGTTGTGTGCAGCAAGGGGCTAGAGGAGACTGACTGAATGGGAAGAAGCTGAGAACCATGGGGACAGAAATTTAGGTCATGGGTAGCTTAGGTCCTGAATGGTTAGCTCCTATGCCTCTGTAGTCTCCCACAGACAGGGGTTGGTATATGGCACATTACCTCTGAAGATGCGTTGTTTCACCTGTTCCAAATTTGTAACGTCCATCATTGGAGTCACCTTGGACAATGAGGTAGTCATTCCTTCTTTGGGTTTCTTCTGTCATTGTATTTAGTTACAAATAATTGTGACATCCTGCTGCCTTGAAGGACCTCCCTAGAGGGAGTGTCTGTTCAGAGGGGTCTTCACTCAGTTAAAAACTGGAACTCATTCATTCTGGTCTAGGATCTTTGACCTGGCTTCAGAGAAGAAATCTTTCACATAGAGCAGAACTCAGATGCCTCAGGTGCTATAGAGTATTACCTGAACATATGACCTCCTACCAGTGTAGCAGGTTAGTGTTAGATTGTGCTGCACAAAATGGTGTTTCATTCTGTAACTCTTAAACCAAGGTGAGTCCTTTTTCTCTTGCAGATCATTGCTGTGCACCCACATTTTGTGAGATCCAGTTGCAAGCAGTTTGTGACCGGAGGGAAGAAGGTAAATACTGTGTATCTCTACCAGGATGATAGCTTTTGAGGGGTGTTCTGTTTGCTCCATAGTTTACTTTTAATGGTTTTAATATTTGACTATTCTTTAGGAGATACTTTGAGAAGGAAAAATATAATGAAATTGTCAAGCCATCATTTCTGGGGGTGGTTGTTGCCTCAGTGTTTCTCACTACCTTCCTTTGAAGTTGGTATGTAGCAAGTGAGACAGGTGTTAGTCCACCTGCCACCTGGAGATTTGAAATATCATTCCCCACACAAAAAAGAGGTATATTTAAAAATAATGACAAAGTAATTTAACTAGGGTCTTTTCCCCCCTTTTGTAGAAAATCCCTTGTAGAATTTGATTTAAAAAGAAAACATTTCTTTGGTGGTACTAGTGTTTGAACTCAGGGGCTCACCCTTGCTAGGCAAGGCACTCTGCCATTTAAGCCACTCTGCCAGCCCTTTTTTGTGTTGGGTGTTTTCGCGATAGGGTCTTACAAACTATTTGTCTGGTCTGCCCTCAAACCACAGTCCTCCTGATCTCTGTCTCCCAAGTAGCTAGGATTACAGGCATGAGCCACTGGCACCTGGTGGCTTTGGTATAATTTTAGGACCATTAAGGCTACTCTTTATTGACATTTTCGTGACACATTTGATTATCTCAGTGCTATTTAAAAATAAGGAAGTGAAACCTTTTATGCGTGAACATCTTTCTGCTTATAGATACAGTAAATTCTGAAATCAAAGAACCTCTCTGCTGACAGCGTAAGTTAATTTTTATTTTATTAACAAGACATTTTTTTTTCTCTTTCTCCTTTCTTTTCTTTCTTTCCTCCTCAGGTATTAGAGATCTCTGGG